CATCGCTTAATCAGATTGACAATCTAACTAGCTAGCTATTTGTTAGATAGTTAGCTAGTTGGCTAGCTGTTAGCTGTATGCTTTCTAATTGTGAGAGAGTGATGGAAAGATCAACCAGTCCACCAGGGAGGTGACTGGGGATTTGATCTATCATACATACATCTGAGTGGACACTCCCACTTGTGATGTCACAAACAGGCTCGGTTTTAAAAAGGCCAATCAAACTCACACCTGGTGGTAAAATAGGGGCTCTTTAACTGTTGAATGTTTGGTGTTGTATGTGGCAGAAATAGGTTATGTTTAGTTTCCTGCTGGTGCTACTGATGCCCAGAATGGACAATATCCTAGAATTAGGGTTGCATTAAACTTGTTACTGTTCTTATTGGATTAATGAGTTCAGCCTGTATTGTTATGTCCGGTAAAATATTTGTCAGTTTTCCTTTAATTTGTGTCATTCAAAGACATTTTCATAAAAAATGAGGTTAATATGATGTATAAATACGCTGAATAAAAATGAGCTGATTTTGTATCACATAGGTCTATTTAAATATGAGGTTTGCAAAGTCAGCATATTATCATTTTATGTCGTTTTATATAAAGCACAGATGTTACTTCCGTGAAACTTTTTAACTGTACACAGTATCCTCAACCCTATGAAAAAAAGTTACATTGAAAATAACGGTATACAAAGTCTCGTCAAAGTCTTAAAAAAAACCAGTGTGTGCTTTATAAGTCATTGTGCATTTTGTTATGCAAATGAATAAAGCACGTGCAAACATAAGCAAACAACCAAAAACAACCACAAAAAAACAACCAAAGACGACATCATGAAAAAGAATAGCATTAAAACCCCAACGCTACAAAAGAACCAGTCAATCGATTGTCCTCCACCCACACCGGCTAAAACTAAACACTCTCTGCGGTTATCACCGCCGCCACCGCCGCGCAGGCCGCTGTAACAAGTGTATCTACGTCTAGCAGACACTCGCTGGGAGCCCCTCGCCTTATTCTGTCCCCTCCATCCCCACAATTGACTTGTCATGTATTTTCCAGCTAATTAGCTCCTTTGGTGGCGCGTTATGTAAGGCTTTCATTGATAAGAACACAGGGGTAAATTGACCGTGTAATGCTGCCATTCATTTGGGGACAATGACCCCCTGTTGCGATAATCAGCAATAATTAAACGCCGTTAAGGAAGAGTGATGGCAGGAGGGGGAGGGGAGAGGGGGGGGGAGGGGGGGGGGGGTGTAGCCTGCCTGTTGAAAAGATAGCAGCACCGCCATGAGGGTTTTACAACACTTTGATTTGTATTTTTTTGTTGGAGTTTTTGTGACTGTGTGTGTGTGTGTGTGTGTGTGTGTGTGTGTGTGTGTGTGTGTGGGGGGGGGGGGTCATAGGTTTAGGCTTAGAGACTAAGGAGAAGGTGGGAGGACCTTGATGTCTAGATAGGAGAAGGAGGAGTAGAGGAGGAGAGCAGGAGAAGGAGGGGGAAAAAGAGGAGGATGAGGAGGACAGGGTTAAGAGAAGACAGAAAAAAGGAGGAGGGGAAACGAGGAGGGAGAGGAGAATGAGATGAAGGAGGAAGAAGCAAAGGAGGAGAAGGAATAGGAGGAGAGAGAAGAGACGGAGAAGGAGGAGGAGGAGGAAGGAGAAGAAGGAGAAGCTTCTTCGTCACTGGCTGCTGCATCATTTTTTCTTGTTTAACCATACCTATTACAATACATTGTTGTTGTTAATAATAATAAGAATAAGAATAAGAATATTATTAATAATAATAATAATAATAATAATAATGAATGCATTCAAATCACTATGATTATGTGACTTAAATTCAAAGCTTTCAATTCAAAGAGAGGTTAACATGATTTATTATAATTTATAATTACATGCTGGCTTTAATAACGTTCAATCCTAAATGGATTCAAAATTATGAAGACATCTTTTTTTTGCATTGCCAAATAATCCAATCCCTTTTTCTAAAGTGAAAATAATAGTGTTCATGAAAATATAATATGTCTTTCATTTCTAACTTTTTTCTTTCTTCCTTTCTTTCATTTATTTCATCCTTCCTTCCTTCCTTCCTTCCTTCCTACTCTCCATACAGTTGTTGCTGTGGTACCTGGTGTTGGTGGGGCATGGGGACGGAGGGAGCGGAGAGACCTCCTGGGACAGACGGTGTCTCCAGCGTGGATCCCTCCATGGCAGCCCCTAGAAGAGACCTGTCTCTGTTAATCACAGGGCGGGCGGTGTGACAGGTATGGAGGGGGGGGGGGGGAAACGAGGGCCCTTGGTTTCATACTGTCCAGACGGGGGGGTTGCTCCCACCACACCACAGGGCTTAATTCACTGGCCATTAGCCGGGAGATTTGTTATTGCTCACTTTGAGAGGCACTGACAGAACGCATTTCAGCCATCAGACAGCTCCGGTCGCACGGGGGAATTAGGACCACAATGAAGGATTTGGCCGCGGCTCACTGCTCGTCTCTCCCTCCATCTCTCTCTCTCTCTGTCCCCCATCTGGCCCGGCGCTGCGCCGCCTCCCCAGCTCGTCCGCGTTGCATCCCTAAAAGAATATAATCTAATACGATGTTGATAGGGGAGGATGATGTTTTGCCCTCCATTCTACACACGCTGCAAATTAGCTTAGGGGATTCCCAGTCATGAAGCCATGGCTCTTGATTTGTCAATCACTTTTCAATTAGCAAATGAGATACGCGGCGCGGCAACGGCTTCTCCCCGGGAGCCCGTTAAGAGGGACGAGAGAGGATGGAGGAGAGCTGAGCCAGCACCTATTAAAGACTGGAATTGTTCTTCGCATAGAGCAATGAAATTAGCTGAATATAATATAATTATCATTATGCAATTGATCGGACGGGCGGGTTCCTTTTAGACGGGGGTGCAGGGTGGGGATGGGGGGGGCAGCCAGCGGCTAAGGACCGACAATAACCTGGCGGGAAGGAGGAGGAGGATGAGAGGAGACAGAGAGATGAGATATTGATGAAACACCGGATTTTAGTGCTACTCGGTTCTTACTTAGTCTGGAGATGGCTCTGATGTTGAGGACGTACGTGTTTCAAATCTGTATTGATGGAGACGTACGATTATTTCACTTGTTCATGAAATGTCACACCGTGTTTTAGTGCTAATAATAAAGCTGATAATGAACGCAAAACATGTGTGCTACACATTAGAAATGTATATTTACGTTAATATAATAAAATATTTTGCTATAATGTTGAAGTCCAAGTTGGCCATTCAGTCGGCCTAATTCTTTTCTCTCTTTTTCTCTTTTTACTTTAATACAATCTGCGTTTAGATATTGTGACTTTGCAAATTATGATCTGCATGTCTGATAGTCCTCACTAAAGTCTGTTAATTCCTAGATGAAGTGATGTGTTTTATTGTGAAGGCAGGAATAGTGAAGTAATCAGCTTTCTCCCCTCCTCTGTCAGCAGCGTGACCTTGTCTTGCTGTGTGACAGGGGAGCCTGAAGGACGACCTGATTGGCTGACACAGCACCTCGATGGCCGTCAGCGTGCCGATCGTTGCCAAGGTGTGAGAGGTCTGGTTGCCATGTCGGCAGTTGATGAAGAAAAGGAATCGATGGAGTGAAAAATGATGAAGAAATGAAAGAGCGGGAAATAGACAGGCGGCAGAAATGAGCGTGTCACATTTCCCTGTGACTAGGAGGTATCAACTCGTATGCAAATGAGTTATGCTAAAAAATTAGCTAAAAAGGATCGATGGCTGAAAATGTTGATTAAGATACAGGCTGTTATTATGGATTAGCATTGCAGTCTTAGCCCATGTAACATGATTACTTAGGATCAATGAAATGCTAACAATTTGTTTAACAATTTATTAAACTGTTTTTTTTATAGCCCTATCTTTTCATTTCTTTATAATTTGGCTACCATCCATGAAAAAACTAAATCGTTTCCATGCATGGTGCAGGTCTAGTGGTTCATCTTAGTTTTCAAATGTGCAATCTCAGTATCTACGTATTTAAACTACAGATTCGTAGATAGGTTGTGGAATAATACATTTTAAAAAATGATGTGTATGTAACTCCAGCCTCATCTCCGGTGGTCCTGGGGCCTAAACGTCTTTATTTATTCCTATTCAGATTTAGTGTCTGAAGAAAAAAAAACACATTAGAAATGTCATGACTTTAATTCTGGGATATTCAGAGAAAACGCCAAACTATCCCCAATTATCCATACAAAACCTTTAAGAATAGTAAACCAGTTTCATCCATTTTTGTATTGATTATATGTGTACTGATTGGACTAAAGCATTTATCATGGTCTTCAGATGACAGAAATTACAATTGATTGGTCAACTGTAATCCAAAATGAGTGTTGTAGCTAACGGTAATCTGCATTCGAAATTTCAATCAACTGCAGAACTCAACAAGAAAACACACCACAGTGGAATCGGGGGCCTTTTCCCCCTGCAGTCGGCTAGCTTTTCTCACTATTTCCTGGCCAATTGATTTATTTCACATTATTAATGAACTTTGCTGCAGTTCCACTTGTCAGGCCTGGCCTGTGAGGGTCAATAAAGGGGGAAACTTGATGTTAGTGGATCGGGCTTAAGTGATTCTGTCTCACTAACCATTCAATATATCAGGACAAATGTCAGCGGCTTATATTATGTTGATTCCCGGGGCCTGATCTGCATAAGCACTGCTTCGGCCCTCAGTGCAGCTATAGGGCCGAGCTCGTACCGTAACAAGCTGGAAACTATTTACATTTATTTGTTGTTTTTTGTAGGTAAGTGAACAACATGTGCTGATGATGCAGGTAATTTTTTTTTTCTATTAGCACCTAGAACATCAAGCATTGAAAGGGATTGTGATATGAAAATACTATCATAATAAAACAGGCCTATATGAACGATTAAATATATAATAAAAAAAATCATAAATCAGTGTATATATTTTTTTAAATATATTTTATAAAATGTATTTTTTTTGCGCCAAAGCATAATACCATGAGTGCATGCATTATTTACAGTGGGAATTGAACCCCTAACCCCGGCTAGTGTTAATACCATGCTCTTACCAGTTGAGCCCCACATGCATTAGTATGTAAATATGATATTACCATTCATCATTTACACGATATTGACGAGGTATTGGCTGGGTAAGGTTCAGTATGGAACACAGGCAGGTTGGGGGTGAGGGACGGAGGGAGGGAGGGGGGGAGGGAGGGGGGGAGGAGTTTAAACCCTTAAGGTGACTTAACTGCTGCCTCTAGTTTTCTGGACGTGCTGCAGAAATCAGTACAATGGATCGGATGCAAGAGATTTAGTCGCCGGTGGCAGAGGTCGCCGGATTGTGTATTCTGTGCAGTCAATAATAAAGTTAGGACTTATGCCCGCAGAAAGTTAATGAGCAAATCACTGGGACCTTGAGAAGTCATTTGCATCTATCTGGGCACAGGCCGCTTGTTTTTAACCACGCAGGCCAGGGTCGGGCCCGGGGGACGGGGGGGGGGGGGATACTGCAGAGTAGTGGAGAGGAGGTTTGAATAAATAATGTAATCAACAAATAACTAATACGATCCCAGGCCCCACGATTTTGTTTCCTGATTTAAAGTAGATTAGTGAGGTTTTAAAAACACGAGTCATATTGCGACCATTTCAGACAGACAGCAAAGTAGGTACTCCATTGAGGTAAATATATATATATATATATATATATATATATATATATATATATATATATATATATATATATATATATATAATCTAATATATCTATCTGATCTTTTTGTGTCTCTCTATTGCTGAAATAATGGAACAGGGATCCCTGCCTCTGGTCCATGGTTCAGTCTTCAACAACATGGAATCCATCTAACAGTGTGTTTGTGTGTGTGTGTCTATGTGCATGCATGTGTTTGTGTGTGTGTGTGTCTGTATAGTTTTCTGTGTGTATGTGTGTGTGTGTGTGTGCGCTTGTGCATGTGCACGCATGTGTGTGAGATTGTCTGTAAGTCATTGTGTGTGTGTGTGTGATTGTCTATGCGCGTGCGCGTGCGACCATCACAGCGCTCGCCGAAGCGGGACCCTCCTATTGGAGGGCAGCGGCGGCGGAGAGAAGTCAATCAGAATATCCGGCGTGGCCCTTTGAAGTCAACAACCATGGCGCTGCGCACGCATGAGGGGGTTCACTTTGCGGCGGGGTTACATGCGACCACACCAGGCCGCTCATGTAATCGCCGCCGCCACCACATCCACTGCCATCAGGCTGTAATCCCACCCCCCCCCACACTGGCCTTTGAGGTCCTTTCATCGTGTCCAGCCCGACACCAACCGCCCAGCCCAGACAACTCAACCGAAAAGTCTTAGAAATATATGAAAACACGCTGAAACAGGTGAGCTGTTTGTAGGAAAAAACAATGTACAAAGAAAATGATGAAAAAACCGATCTATGCTTTTGGTTGAGTTAAGGTTAGTGTTCGTTTTTTTTCTCCTAGCCGTAACCCTTTACACATACAATATACAGTATGGTAGTTAATTCTAATCGTTGTTAGGCATCACATGCAAATTGAGCTACACATAAAAAAAAAACTAAAGTGTCTGCAAGGCATATGAATACATATTTCATAGGCAATTCACTTAACATACAAGTAGGCACTCGCCCGGTAAGACAACAACAATATACGTCTTAAAAATATAGACAACGTTAATCGTAATCCATGTTTTACATTGCGGTCTCTACAAATCTTACTGCTAACATGACACAAGTGCGTTATTACATTTACACTGACTTATTGGGGGCCAGTAATATTGGGAAACAAGGAAATTGAACGTTAATAAATCAAAGATTACGAACACAATAAATGCCTATCATTTATTATTTTTGTATTTCTTTTCTCGGGTGTGTGCGTGTATGCGCATGTGTGTGTGTGTGCATGTGTGTGTGTGCATGTGCTTGTGTGTGTGTGCGTGTGTGCATGTGCTTGTGTGTGTGTGTGCATGTGCATGTGCGTGCATGTGCTCGTGTGTGTGTGTGTGTGCGTGCATGTGCTCGTGTGTGTGTGTGCATGTGCATGTGCTCGTGTGTGTGTGTGTGTGTGTGTGTGTGTGTGTGCACATGTGCTTGTGTGTGTGTGTGTGTGTGTGTGTGTTTCTGGCTCCGGGGCTGTTTTAAGAATCCCCCACCCAGAGTGCTGGTGAATTGAAGCATATAGTTAAAGTAGGCATGGTTGGAAAAAAAACAGGAATGAGTTTCATTACTTTGTGTTTGTGGCCCTCTTTCCTCCCCCCGCCATGTCATTACAAAAGCGGTAATGGTCGATCACAGGGAGAAACGGATTGCTCTGCAACACACATCCAACAGGCCTCATTTTAATGTGCCAGCATAATGCGGGCCCCAGCTTTGTTACAGTCTAGTACGAGCTTGTGGGCCTCTTTTCTTCTCCTCTCCTCTCCCCCGCCGCCGACCTGTTTTTATACATCTGTAGCGGCAGGGTAGACGCTACGCCGTTGTGACACGAGACAAATGTTTCATTCAAATGTTGCTTTCGCATATTGTGGGGGAAGTAATGAATTTCTGTGGCGGCACGATGCGATGCGAACCGCGGGCTTCACACACACAACAGCAAAATTAAATTTAATGTTCCATCCGACGCCGCCGGTGCAGGAGCGGGTGCATAAATCACAAGCTTTTTTGATTTGCATGAACTGTGGTGAGCAACCTCCAGCCGTGGCAAAAAAAAATGAAAAAACATGAAAAAATAAAACCCAAGCGACATAAAGCGAGGGGCAGAATATGATGTCAGGGGAAGAACAATGTAATCTCAGGCTTCTTAATAAAAGTAAGCAAAGGGGCGGGGCCATTCAATTCACACACAGTGTGTGTGTGTGTGTGTGTGTGTCTGTGTGTGTCTGTGTGTGTGTGTTATTGCTCGGATGTCAGGTGTATTATTAAAAACCTCGCCGCGACCCCCTGCTTTCATTTAGGAGGGAGGGAGGGGGGAGGGAAGAAAAAGCCAATTCAAAAGTTTTACCCTGTCGTGGTTTTTAATATTGAGACATGAAAACAAGAAATGAAAACACTTTGAATAAATCCTCCATTCTTCAAGAATCCTCAAATAAAAGGGTGTTTCTATGGCTATTACAATATGTATATATATATATATATGTATATGTATATGTATATATATATATATATATATATATATATATATATATATATATATATATATATAGTGTGAGACTGATGACAGATTGGATAGATGGATAGAAAGATAAAGATGTATTCACTAGAAGTCATTTTGGCTAAAAGCATTTCTGAAATGTCTAAATAGGCCTAATAGTGTCATTGAAATAATAATAGTAACTGTAATAATAGTAATATAAGTAGTAATATAGGAAGATATAGTAGTAATATAAGAAGAAGAAGGAATAATAAAAGAAGTAATAATAGTAACTGGAATGGTAATAGTAACTGTAATACTAAGACTAATAGTATTAGAAAAAGGAATAGAGAAAGTAATATAGTAATAGTAATTGTAAAAGGCTTATGGCAAGAGTAATAGTATTAATAGTAATTTCAATAGCCTATAATTGTAAGATGAATAGTAATTGTAAGTGTAGCTTCTAGAGAAGGAGAAGATTTTTAGACCCTGTGAACTAGTCAGACATGATTGGTCCACCACTAAAGACAACACAAAACAGACCATCCTTCATCATCAAATCATCAACCTTTTGTCATTAAAATAAAAGCTTGTTAGTGAATGGCAATTACTTTTCCCATAAACAAACTGTATTTTTTGTAATACTATTTCATGATTAAATCTCTAATTCCAGGAATACAGATCTATATAAACAGTGCGTATGCGAGCGCGGGCACACACACACACACACACACATCTTAATCAATAGTCAGTGAATGAGAGTGCCAGTGATCTGATTAACTCCCCATTATTTTCCTCCAGCCCTTAGTTAGAAGACATGACGAGAAAACACCCTGCTGTCATTCTGTAACACACACACACACACACACACACACACATTGCCTTTGCATTAGATTCCTCCCCCTTCTGATCGGCAGACATGCAGTAAGTAATTTGTTTGACTTGCGGTCGAAAGGTACTGGTACTGGTAGGCATCCCTGAGCACGATGTCTTACCCCCTACCTGCTGCTTAAAGACATATCTGAATTCACTGTGTCAGTTTGAACTGTTCTGTTTGTCTTTGTGTAGTTTTTGTTTCTTCCCCTAGATGTCCTCGCTTAGTATTTTCTTTCACCTCATTAGCCTTGATTGTGTTCCACCTGTGTTGATTGTTGATTGAAATAGTTTTCTCCTTTTTGTATCTCCTATTTCTCTATCTTTTTGTCTTGAAGAATTTAAGTCAACATTGCTTTTGTTCAAACCATCTTTTGATTCTGCATTTGAGCCCTGAACCCAAGGCTTACTGCAGAATCAGACCAAAAAAGCAGACACAGACCTCCAAGGAGTGCTGGCCAACCGGGGGCACTGTCAATGGTCGACACGAACAGCAGATCCATCAACTTGGAGATGGACTTCACCAGCGGGCTGAACAGCAGAATAGCGGGTTTGCAGTTCCAGGTGCTCCACCACCCGGTTTCTGGAAGAGAGGCGGCCAGGCAGCTTCTCCATTTTCGACAAGGGGTTTGCAGTGTTGCGGATTATGGACGAGGTGGCCTCTCGGGAAGTCCCTTCCAGCCTGGACCTTTTCATTGATCTGGCTCTCCGCATAGACAGTCGCCTTCATGGACGAAGAAGGGAGAGGAGATTCCCGCGCATCTCTGCCATCGTCTCTCCACCGGTCTACCAGGCCCAACCTTTCTGTGCGCAGTGCCACTCCACCACCCAGCCGCTCATCCCCTCCTGATGACCTCACTCCAGAGCTTATGCAGTTGGGAAGGACCGAGTTGTTGTATGTACTGCAGTGCGTCTGGACATTATGTAGGTGAAAGAGCAGGCTCACCCATAGGCGGGAGGTTACTGGTGTGCCCAACTAAGGCCCTTCCATCTGCTCCACGTCCCTGTATGTTACCTGTATCCCTGGGTTCACAGAACCAAGTCTGTTCCCTATCTGCCCTTGT